TCAACTATACAGAAGCAGGATCAGGAGACGAGTTTGAAGATCCCGCAGAGAAACAGGGCCCACCTGGTGCGATCGACTCGGACGACTCGGACTTTCAGGCGAGCGGTGGGACGAGGACGATGGTCAGGAAAATGGGGAGAGGTCCAGGATCTTCTGCAGTCATGAATGCAAAACTCACTGCTGCTGCCGCTGCCAACAAGGATCCGAATAACGACATTGATAAAAGTCATTTGGGGTCGGTGCCACCGTTACACTTGCTACGGCCGCATCAAGTCCATAACGTTCGTCTAGAACAATAGTAAGACGTGCCTCATATCTTTTATCAGTAAATTGACTCCAAACTGCAGCTCGTTAGAAAAGGCCGAAGCTCAGGCCAGCCTCCCTGTCGTCTTGATCCCCATCCGTATCGAAATAGACACTGACAACCTCCGAATACGAGACTGTTTCACTTGGAACCTGAATGGTAAATAATTATCTTCGAGTTCTCTGTCATGTTGCACGTCTAAACTTCAAATTTCAGAATCATTAATAACCCCAAACCATTTTGCCCTCCTTTTCTGCGCTGACCTTCATCTCGACCCAGCATACGCGGAACAAATAGCCAATCAAATTCGAGCACAATTAGAAGAAAACGGCGCCACGGCTGCCCTTGATTTACCGGTGAACACGGAACGAGAAGGAGAAATATTGCACGAAGATGATGCAGGACCGGGTGACTGTCGTGTGGTCCTACAAATTGACGTGCAAATAGGGACCAAGCACTTGTTGGACCACATCGAGTGGGACTTGAGATCCTCTTTGACACCAGAAGAGTTTACAAAGCTGTTTTGTGCAGATGTCGGTCTCACCTCTGAAGCAATGCCCATGGTCGCACATGCTATCCATGAAGAAATGCTAAAACACAAAAAGGACGTGATAGAGTGGGGTGTGTTGGAAGGTGGTGGTGAATGGAAGTCGCATGCGGCTGGTCTCGGAAATGCGTGGGGTAGAAAAGGAAAGGGTCCAAAGAGGATGAAGGGTATCTGGAGGGACTGGGCGGAAATCGTCTCGGGAGATTATGCCCCTAGAATTGAGGAGCTTACAGCGGAGGAATTAGAAAGGAGAGAACTAGAACGCGAAAGAGCAGCTCGGTGTGTTCAATCTATTCAACTAGTTTACAAATTTCTTACCCTTTTTCCAGGCGACTGCGTCGCGAGACGAGCAAATTCCAGGGCGGAGCGACAACTACTCGCAGAAGACGATAATTCACCAAAAAACTTCCTACTTTTCTCAATCCTGTACATCACGATATATCAAATCCTATTCACTCGAGCACTGATGAGCAGTGAAGTTGCAAATTAAGCACGATATTAAGCTACATAATGGATACTGGCACAAAAGTACTGTCCAGCACTAGTCTAGATCCTGTGGAGGTTAAATAACCGCCGTTCATCGGACGGGTTGATATATATCTCGCACGCCTCTATTTTTTGCCCTCTAGTTTTTTGCGATAGGCCTCTACCATCTCTTTTTGAACGTGTGGCAACACGGGTTGGTGGTCCTAGGATTCAAATTCAGTTTCTGAACAGACATTTCTTTCCAGTGGAACCTACCTTGTATTCCATTGAGAATTCGCCCTTTCCTTGAGTGGCTCCGCGAAGTGCGCTCGAATATCCAAACATGTCATTCAGACTCACTTCGGCAGTTAGCTGGAACTCGTCATCTCGAACCTCGGTATCAATGATCGTGCCACGACGCTGATTAATGCCGCCGACAATATTGCCTATATGACACTTCAATCTTCATATCCTTGCAAGAATATAGGTGTGTATAATTACCTTGGAACTCGACTGGCGCGACGATTTCTACCGTCATAATGGGCTCTAGGATGACGGGCGACGCGTTCTTGTACGCTTCACGGAATGACCCAATGGCTGCTAGCCTAAATGCCAGTTCAGACGAATCTACAGCGTGGAAAGCACCATCCTCAAGGACGTAGCGGACACCATTAACGGGGCATCCAGCAAGGGAACCCTTTTCCATGGCTTCAAGGAAACCCTACAGAATATTAGTCCCTGTATGCATACAATATGACGGGATATACCTTCTCGACGGCCGGAATATAGTTGC